TTGCCTTTGTAACATCTGCTCAACTGCTGGGCGATGGTGCTATGCCGATCTAGGGCTTCCGAGATATCTTGCTTCTCCGTAGAGTTATAAGGCTGAGAGAAGTATTGAACAAACTGGGCTATTCTGGTTTTGTAGGAGTTTCTCCTTTTCGTTGTCAACCAGGCTCGCGCAATCATCCATAATTTTCCAGACGTCACAAAGTGTTTTCATGCTTTAAATCACAAAATAATCTTCAATGTCTATGTACAACGTGGCCCCCAATCCTTGGAAAAACGGCTAAATACATATCCTTCGATTCCCGAGATTATGCACCTCCATCTGATAACAAATGACGTGCATAAGTAGCACCTATTAATCCGGTGTGATCATGTGTCGAACAAGCAACACAATTCTGCCAAAATACCCGCGTCACACTGTCTCAGCTTTTCAGCTCTGAAGATCCTCATGGCGCACTATTAATTAACAGAAATCGCACAACTTCCTTCCTTTCTGGTGATGTTATACCTTCCCCCAAGACAATATACTCAATCAGATATTAAATGCAGAGATGGTACTCTGCTCAAAGTAGGGTAGATAGCGAGTCAATCTCAGCTTGGAGAACATCATGAACATTTTGGTCAACGCCCGCATTCTCTCTTGTAATTGCGTGATATGTGCTACGGAATCCTGGTTTGGGAGTGTTGATATACAGTAATTTGTGCAATTCCACAATGTTGAATCTTGCAGACTGCGATTTTATGATACCACCTTCATCTTCGTGCCGCAATAGTCAATATGCCATTTTCATTTCTTACGCATCGCTCGAAATCCAAGACGACCAAGGAGGAAAATGAAGTAGATGAACGCTCGACGCCAAATGGGGGCTCATCTCACGATGAAAAATCTCACTCAGCCACAACTAGCCTCCCGGTTCCTCTTATTCTTCCCTCGCCTCGTCACTCGCTCGATCCTAATCTACCAGATTCATTCCCCATCCAATCAATCCCATCCCGTACATCTATTTCCCCAGATCTAGATCCTGAGAAAGTATTGGAAACACCTATTGATATCTCCCTAAACTCACCGTATCCACAAGTCCGCGCCGCGGTGCGCAATACAGGTAGTTATCTATCCATATTTCTAGCTTTGTGCTTGGGTTTGAAAGAAACAGGTCTGAAAGAAACAAATCTTAGTTTGAGCCATGAAGTGCATATTGAAGTTTAGAATTGAAGGTGAAAAGCGATGCTAAGATATTAAAATAGATGATGAATCGCTTCCATGTAACACAATTCGGGCATGGTGTATTGGGCTGGCGCTTACGACGGTGGGAGGGGGAATCAACTGTCTATTCAGTTTGAGGAGTCCAAGTATCGCTATCACTACTGTTGTGAGTTTTCCTTTTTGGATTCCTCACAGAGTCTTTCTCAGCACTTGATAGCTTCCTCTCGTGGCTTGAAAATCTGAGTTATACAAAAAGTAGATATACTGATGCAGATCCCACACAATAGTGCGTGCAACTAATCGCCTGGCCCCTAGGCAAAGCCTGGGATCTCATAGTGCCAGACTGGAGCTGCGAGATTCGCCTCCCCTTTTGCGGGGCTCGAAGATGGAAAGTGCATTTGAAAGAGGGGAAGTGGAATATGAAAGAGCATGCGATTGTGGTTGTGATGGCGAATGCGGGGTATGCGGGTGCGTCGATATATGCTACTGATATACTTATTTCGCAGCAGGTGTTTTATGGTCAGAGTTTTGGGTATGTTTTGTCGGTTTGAGTTATTCTTATTCTATTTGATTTTCTTGGGGGTTGCGGTTTATGGGATGTGAGAAGGAAAATGGGAGATGGGCTAATATTAAGATGTTTGTATAGATGGGCATTTCAACTTCTCTTTGCGGTTACGAATCAAATGTTAGGGTTTGGATTGGCGGGGATTTGTAGGAGGTGGTTGGTTTGGCCTGCGGCGATGATTTGGCCAAGTGATTTGGTCAATTGTGCGTTGATGTATGCGTAAGTTATCATTCTCCCCTTGAGTTTCGCAAGAGTGTACTTTGTTATTGGAAGTTGGAGAAGCAGAGATAATTATTTGAGGACGGGGATTTGTGTTTGAGGATGCTTGCTGACTCTTTCCTCTGAATGTGGATCGTAGTCTACATGATCACAGTCCCTCTGATCCAGCAAAAACAAATGGTTGGAGTATATCGAAATATAGATGGTTTATGTATATCATGAGTGGTATGTTTATATCTCTTGTTGAACTTAGTAGATAGAAAGTATTTATTCAATACTCTAGGTTCATTCGTATGGTACTTCTTCCCTGGCTGGATCTTCCAAGGCCTTTCATACTTTACATTTGCATGCTGGATTGCACCGAAAAACCCAGTTGTCAATCAGCTATTTGGTGGTGTGACGGGTCTAGGATTAATTCCTATCACGTTTGATTGGACTGTTGTGAGTGGATATCTGTATTCGCCGTTGATACCGTAAGTAAAATCATTCTTAACCGATATAACTCGTACCGAACATATTGCGAAAGTCTCATCCCATACTAATATATCATAGTCCCTGGTATGCCATCGCTAATACCCTTATCGGGCTTTTCATCTTCGTCATCATCAGCTCGCTGGGCGTGCATTATACGGGAACGTGGTATGCGGATTATCTTCCCATGAGCGACTCGCACAGTTATGATAACATGGCGAAACCATATAATGTCAGTCGAATCCTCACTTCAAACTATGAATTTAGTGAGGAATTGTACAAGAAATACTCGCCGGTGTTTTTGTCGACGGGGTTTGCGTTGAATTACGGTAAGTTTCTGTTCTGATGTGCTTCTGGATTTTGGATGGAGTTGATTGAACTTTGCTGCTGTAGGATTCTCCTTTGCAGCTATTAGTAGTGTCATTGTTCATACAATTTTGTGAGTCTATTAAATTTGAATCGATGAATTGAGTTGAGGCCAGAGTTTTGGGAAATTAATTGGTTGATACCTAATCTACGTAGATATGAGGGCAAAAACATCTGGAGACAATGGAAACTTGCTCGAGATCAAGATGATGACATCCACATGAAACACATGAAGAAGTATAAAGATGCACCGGATTGGTATTTTGCTCTTTCATCTTTCCTATACTCCCCATTTCTAATTAAAAATTCATAAAACTGATGAACTCACACGTAGGTGGTATATCACTCTCGGAGCCATCATGCTCGCATTGTCCTTTGTGGTCATCCTCGTCTGGGATACCCATTTCCCATGGTGGGCTTTCATTGTTTGTGTTGCTATTCCTGTCATCTGGACAGTACCTGTCGGTATCATATTCGCCACAACCAATATCCAAATTGGACTTAATGTCTTTACCGAGTTTGTCATTGGGTACATGTTGCCTGGTCGTCCTGTAGCTTTGATGTTATTTAAAGCTTATGGTTAGTCTCTATCTCCTGTTGGGAAATCATATGACGCAAAACTCATATTCGGATTCCCATTCTGTCTGGTTATTAATACGTATTATAGGCTACATAACAATGACTCAAGCCCAGTTCTTCCTACAAGACTTAAAACTAGGTCATTACCTCAAAGTTCCTCCCAGAACAATGTTTTTCGCTCAGTGTGTAGCTGCTTTCTGGTCATCTATTGTACAGATTGCCGTAATGAATTGGGCACTTTCTCATATTCCAGAGTTAGTATTTTCCTCCATCTACAAGCCTAGAAATAACAAACACATTCCTAACATCCCCATCTCAGAATCTGTACCCGCACCCAAAAAGATTCTTACACCTGCCCAGGCCCCTCAATGTATTTTACCAACAGTATAATTTGGGGCGTCATCGGTCCCTCGCGTATCTTTTCCGCCCCAGAGTCCCTCTATCAACCTTTACTCTACTATTTCCTAATCGGTGCTTTGCTTCCAATCTTGACATACTTTCTAAGGCGAGCGTACCCTCGCTCTTTATTTAAATATCTTATTGTCCCTGTCATGTTCGGAGGTTTACAACTGATACCTCCGGCTACTGGATATAATTATTTGTGCTGGGGATTGGTGGGATTTGTGTTCCAGTATTGGATTAGGAGAAGATGGAGAGGATGGTGGGAAGTTTACGTATGTTTTCTCTCTGTTATATCTGGGGGTTCAGGAGTTGTGGTACGAATTAAGGGATTTCAAACATGAATACAGACTGATAATTGGTGAATAGAACTACGTAACTTCCGCCGCGCTGGACACCGGTTTAATCCTCTGCACTCTTCTCGTTTTCTTCACGTTAGAACTCACGAATGCTAAACTACCTCAAGTAAGTCCTAACCTCTCTTTTGGAACTGTAAATACAATCAGAACCATTCTCTCATATCGGAACCCTAACAAACACAGTGGTTTGGAAATGTAGATGTGTTCGAGACTATGGATATGCAGGGTACCGCAGTTCGAAAAGTACTTGCCGAAGGAGAAACTTTTGGACCGAAGACTTGGTCTTGAAGGTGATGACAGTTTAGAGGTGGAATAGGTCAATGAATTAGGGAGTGTGAAGTATGGGACAGCGAGAACAAGCTTCCTCTCTAGCATAACTTCTGACTAGTGCACCTGAGCGGAACTTTTCATCGTAGAATGGGTTTGTTGCATACCTACGAATTCTTCGAAATTCATTTACTATCTTTATGTACTTCAAAATAAGGTGTCTACTTAAGAGGCATATTTCAACGCAAGATTTTTTTTATATCTTAAGTGCCTACTTTTATTGTTGACATAATCGGCGTTTTATATATCGCATCACCTTCGGATGGATACTCATGAACATCTAACTCGACAGCAAATATCACATTTGGAAACTTGGGACACATTGCCAACCCAGAGAATTTACAATCGTGATAATATAATTGCGTTTATACAGCTCTTCAATACAAAAGCCCATAATACCTCATAAAGTTCAAAAACTATACGCTACCACCGTTCAAGATTCTCTCTAAACGCGGCAGGGACGGTGGATGAATACTACTCTGGCACCTGGGATATCGATTGTGCACATGGGATATTGGAAGAGAATTCGATCAAATAGTGTGAGTACGCTCTAAGCTAAGGATAAAATCGCAACAAGCAAGACCTAAGACTTAGGGACGAAGATGAAAACACGGATATGTAAACATGAATACGACTTGAAATACGACAGTGCACCATGCCGCGCCTCTCCATCCGGATATAGCTAAGTAAGTTTTCCGGTTGTCGGATATGCACAATATTTCAACAACTCCAAAGGAAAAAAATGTAAATGCGTTCGCGGAATATAGATTTTCGGTATGAGATATCCGGATATTTTTTTTTAACATGGATTTCCAGAAACAACCTGTGGTCTAGACTTCCTCTTGGAATCAATGTGCACATGATTATGGCTGTCTAATGAATTATTTGGGGCGCAAGGGATAACATAAGGAATAATAATAGAACGTTCATGTTGATCTCACTTGAGGACATACACGAAGAACAAAGTCCGCCAAAAATTGGGAAGTGAATCCAGCTACAATATATCTTCTTTGCGCCCACCTATTTGCTGCCTAGCAAATTCATGTGTACCATTATCTCGACCCGACAAAATGTGGGCACCAGGCAGCAAATAGAAGATACCGGATCATAAACTTTGTGTGAATTGGTATATCCTTATGTCCTTATGTCCACGAACGCCTCGACGCCATACGCTATGCTCATACATACAACAGGTGTCAAAAGACCTGTTGCTCCCCTCCCGCAATCTAGAATGGTTTCGCAACCTTTCTACTCTCACTCGCTCCCGTTTCAGGATCCTTATATTCCTTCCAACTGACCGGATACATTGCATTGCCAGCCTCACTCGTCGCCATAATAACTCCCAACTCATTTTTCGCCGTGCTGAGGTAATAATTCGATTGATCACCTAACGAAATCTGCCATCATTAAAGCATTAGTACATACTTCTCCTAAATGACATCTAAACCTCGAGAAGAAAACTCACCACCACAGCCCTCACAATATCCCCTGGTCTAAAACTCTCAAAAATCTTGACCTTATCCTTCTCCGTAGCCCTCACATCTTGCACTCTAATCAAGCCCTGCCATTCGCCCTCCAAAACCGTTTCACCTACAACCAATATCGCAACTGTTGCCTGTCGTGGAGTAATTCTTGTGACGCGACATAAAACTGTACTGTTTACTTCAGGTAAAATCTCGGCCTTGTCCCCAGTGAGTGTAGCTCTTTCAATAGAGATAGTAGAGAGAGGCGTGGGAGCCGCAGGTGTAATCTTCGTGGCTCGTTTTTGGGGATAGCTGGGTTTGGGCGGTGCTACTGTTTTGATGGGTCCAAGGATCGAGGCGTAGAGATTCGAGGAATGGATATGTGTACCTGGACCTGGCAGATATTCGCTGCTAGAGCCGAGAAGCTGGCCTGGCACGGCTACGAGTGAGATTTGTGACATTGCGGTGTGTCTGTTGTCTCGGAGTGAACGGGAACGATAAGCTCACAAGAAATCGCAGTGGTGGATGGAGCTTGAATTGAGCTTATGAAATTGAGGATCTTCAGTGGTTCGGAAAAAGATTTTGGTACCCCCACGGTTTTGCCGGCTCGGGCCCCCACGAGAAGATACGTGCCTGTCGCTGATCCTTGCTTTCCACCCCGCATTTCCTTGAATGCCCCGCTTCCAATTGTTGATCTTTTGGACCAACGAGCCAACGAGCCAACTTGTGCAAATATGGATTGCAGTGGTGTGATGAAAGATATGCATATTTAATCCGTCTTGGCTAGCTTCATTCGCCCCTCCTATTCTTTGCTTTTCTTCGAATTTCTTATATTTCTACTTCCCGTCTCCTGCTGTATATACCTAGTATTCACTCGATAGCTTTCCTATATCTACTTTACAGCTTTCCCATTATAATCCATTGCTATTCTTTACCCCCTTTTCTATCCCTCTCTAAACAAAACACACTCTGGCAAGCACTCTTCAATTGTCATCCTCAATCACAATATAAACAATGGCAGCAAAGCATTTCATCAATGATCCCACTCTCCTGGTGAACTCCGCTCTCCATGCTCTCACCCTCACCAACCCCTCCGTCGCTTTCGACGAAGAAAACAAAATCATCTATAGACGACCAGGACATGAATCTCAAGTGTCTATAATATCTGGCGGAGGTAGTGGACATGAGCCTAGTTTCGGAGCCTTTGTTGGTGAAGGATTGCTCGCAGCATCTGTTGCTGGTACTATATTTGCATCACCGAGCGCCGAGCAAATTCGCAGATGTGTAATGTCAAGAGTCGATACCGAGAAAGGAATCTTGGTTACGGTTATGAATTACACAGGAGATGTGTTGAATTTCGGTATGGCGGTTGAGAAAGCGAAGGCTGCGGGGTTGAAAGTCGAGATGTTGGTAGTTGGAGATGATGTGGGAGTTGGTCGTGAGAAGGCTGGAAAGGTTGGCAGAAGAGGTATTGCAGGCACAGTACTAGTACATAAGATCACAGGAGCATTAGCAGCAACGGGTGCTAGTTTGGAGAACGTCTATAAGGTTGGGAAATTAACAGCAGACAATATCGTCAGTGTGGGAGCTTCCCTGGATCATGTTCATGTTCCTGGTCGAGCACCTCCCAATCCAAATTCGGAGGAGAGCCTGGCTTATGAGGAACTCGAGATTGGAATGGGAATTCACAATGAGCCCGGTAGCGGTAGGGCCAAGGTTGATCTGCCCGAACTTGTCAAAAGAATGCTTACGCAATTGTTGGATTCGAAGGACAAGGATCGAGCATTTTTGAACGTGAATTCGAATGAAGTCGTTCTTCTAGTCAACAATCTTGGTGGTGTTAGCGTATTAGAGCTGGGAGGTATTACAGCGGAAGTTGTAGGTCAGCTCGAGAAGTCCTACAATATCAAGCCAGTCAGAATCCTTGCCGGAACTTATATGACAAGTTTGAACGGTCTTGGGTTTAGTATATCGCTTCTTAATGTTGTCAACACAAATATTGGTGGACCCAGTATGTTACAGTTATTGGACGCATCGACTGAGGCGACTGGATGGGCAGCTCCTATCAGAAAAGAAACATGGGAGGCTAAATCTACAGAAACTAGAACCGGCTCTGCTGGTGCTGAAGAGGAGGTTAAGCCCAGTGGATTGAAACTAGACCCAGAAGTAACAAAGAAAGCTTTGACCGCTGGACTCGAGAGAATCATTGCAGCAGAACCCGATGTCACTCGATTTGACACAGTAGTTGGGGATGGAGATTGCGGTATTGGTCTAAAGAGAGGAGCTGAATGTAAGTGTGCCAATTTGGCGAACCTATTATGAGCTAACAAACTGTACAGCTGTGTTATCAACAATCTCGAAGGAAAAGCTATCCGGTGATGCTGTTGTCGATCTTGCAAGAATTGTTCAAGTGGTCGAAAATACCATGGATGGCACTTCTGGAGCCCTATATGCTATCTTCCTAAATTCTCTTTTGGCTGCTCTCCGCGAAAATGCTTCTACAGGACAAGCAACTCCAGAAGTCTGGGCAAAGGCATTACATTCCGCGTCTGAAGCTCTTTCAAGATATACACCAGCGAAACCTGGAGATCGCACTTTGGTAGATGCCTTACATCCATTTGTTGAGACACTTAATAAAACGGGAGATATCAAGAAAGCAGCTGAAGCGTCCAGGAAAGGCGCCGAGGGCACAAAGGGAATGAAAGCTAGTTTAGGAAGAACTGTGTATATCGGAGGTACTGGTTTCGAACAGGTCCCGGATCCAGGTGCATGGGGTTTGAGTGAGTTCTTTTTGGGACTCGCTGGCCTCGGAGAGTCGGATTATGAATTGGTTTGAAATTGATGAAAACTTCACTGTTTATTAGTAACGTAGCGCTTAATGAATATGGATAATAAAGCTCGAAATTGCGCATCTGTCTGTTTAAAATTCCAAAGGAGAGGCTTCTGCCTTGCTAGTGTGTAGCGGTCAATGAACATGTATCATGAAACTTATAATCTCGAGAGTAGTCTGTAGGTATTTGAAATGTCAGTTTGATTCAGGCGCTATATCTGGTTTTGTGACGGGTAGTGAGGTTTCAAAAGCATTCAGGAAAAAATTAGAGTTGTTTTTTGGTCTTCAAGGTATGTAGATACCATTAAGGGTTAAAAAGCTGTGATTTGTTCATCACAATGCTGAGATAGGAAAGCAAGTAGAATAGAGAATCAAGTAGACCAACCTTTTTAAAGAACCGACTCGTGATATTCTCATCACAAAATCAAGTCACCAGCAATATAACCCATCTGAAATTTAAAGAGAGTTTCTTTCTCGACTAACATTCCTATTTTCCATAAAATTTGGTTCCCTATTTGGCATGAACTTTCTCATGCGTCCTTTGAATTCATAGCTATAAGCTGATTTGGTATGCGTTGATATTGACAACGCCCTATGCTATTACATTTGTTTCCTCCACAGATCCTGTCCGGTGTTGCTAATATTCAGATATCGATCCTTAGCTGGTCCCCTCTTCTATCCATCCATATATCGTAAGTTGCGAATGTCGACCGTTCAGCTTAGGAGGACTAGAATGACGGAATCTCCTCTCAAGAACCTGGAAAATCGATATATGTTAGCGGCAATCTCCCAATGCTCTCCATCGCCTGATATGTAGGGTGTTTTGTGCTCTCTTTTGTGTTTCCCCGTCTAATCCTGATCTCACCGTCCGCCCGAGATCAAAGTGACAAAAGTGTAGAATACTCACATCTTACTGATGAATCTATCCTTGTTTACTGGTCTTCCCTTTCCACCACCGCTCAATCGTGGAGTCTCAGTCCACATCTCCTTAACATTCTCCAACACCATGTTGCAATGACGATCGAAAGCCTTAACGCGCGCAAGTAATTTTCGGTTGTTACGGCAGGAAATCAGTACCTGTCCATGCGAACGGACAGCAGCTTGGAGAAGAGAGAGGGGACCGGATGTGAATTCATGCTCTTCGATTTGCGCAACCTCGAACTCGCTGATAAAGATTAGTATGATAAGCTTGGGGGATGATTAGGAGGGAGGTGTTGGACATACGTGAGCTCATTGCGAGGCTTGGCGAGAAGTTCTCTGCAAAAGCAATTAGTATTTGCAAGACATAGTTTAGAGACGGATGGAATTCCTACTGTATCTTTGCTGCATCTGCCATGATTGAAATGTTAATGTGGTAGATTAATTAATCAACAACTCAATCAATTATCTACGTCGTCAAAGTTTCCAGGCACCAAAAATTCCCATCACGGTCGCGAGCTCCAAGAATAGTTTAGCGCACAACCTTAAATCTGCCCGGCTGGATTTTGCGCGGGGACAAAAATAACCGATGAGACTTTACTTCCGAGGTTCTGAGAACTTTATCTTTCTCCGCAATCCTTTAAAGTCCAGTGTATCCCTTCTTTCTTGATGTTCGGAACATATTTGGGCGGTAGAGCTGGAGCGGCAGTTCGCTCTTGTGGCTCAAGGTTTCCAACTATGCCTCTGAGAGCTAAGGTTATCAATCCTGCATTCGCGGGGAGAGCACAGGTTTGGGGAATTTTTCGATTGTTTATAAGTGAATGCTAATGATCAATATAGATGGCGACAGCCTCAGATACCCCTTCATACGCCCAGGCAGAAGTCATCAAGGAGCTGGAAAGTGACGAGAAGGAAGATGTTCTATTCAATTCTTTATATGGCGTAAGGACGATCGAGCTCAACAGACCACAAAAGTTACATTCCCTCAATGGATCGATGATTCGAAAAATCGTGCCGAGATTACAAGAATGGTCAAAATCAGACATGGCGAACGTGATCATTATCAAAGGATCTGGACCCAAGGCCTTCTGCGCTGGTGGAGATGTGGCAGCGCTCGCTGAGGACAATACAGAAGGCGAAGAAGGACAAGCTCGATCAACAGATTACTTCGCTCTCGAATATAAGCTCGACCACCTTATTGCAACTTATCAGAAACCCTATGTTGCTTTTATGGACGGTATTACAATGGGTGGTGGAGTTGGATTAAGTATACACGCACCATTTCGAATAGCCACTGAAAGGACGCTCTTTGCTATGCCCGAAACTACAATTGGATTCTTCCCAGATGTTGGAGCTTCATTCTTTCTACCCAGGATGGCGGGATCCGTTGGAACATACCTCGCCTTGACTAGTGACCGATTGAAGGGCGTTAACGCATTTTATTCTGGTATCGCAACACACTACATTCATTCGACTTCTTTGCCGGCTTTGGAGAAACGTTTGGCGGAATTAAGATTTAAGGATTTCGAGACTTTGGCGCAGCGAGCACAATTGATCAATAGCACTATTGAGGAATACTGCACGGGACTGCCTCATGACGAACCAATGCTTATCAGTGGCGAATTGCGAAAGGCTATCGATCGACACTTCAGTAAATCAAGTGTTCCTGAAATCATTGCCGGCATTAAGGCTGAGATTGACGTTTTGAAGGTTGAATCGGAGGAAACCGGGTTGGAAAACCCACTCCAAACATGGCTTGAAAAGACTCTTGCTACCTTGCACCAGAGATCACCTACGAGCGTTCATGTAGCACTACGTCAAATGCGCATTGGCAAGGATTGGTCAATCACCGAGACGTTCCAAAGAGAATACCAAATTGCCGCCAAATTTATGCGTCATCAGGATTTCACTGAAGGCATATATTCATTACTTATTCGCAAAGATAAGAATCCTCAATGGAAACCCAAAACTCTGGAAGATATCAGCCCAGAGGACAAAATTGCGAACCCATTCTTTCAAGTTGAAGGATCACAAAGAATAAAACTGCTAAGCGATCGGGATTATTATGAGTATCCATTCCAATTTGGAGTTCCAAGAGAAAGTGAAGTTGAGAAGGTTGTGAGACAAGGCGGAAAGTCGGCGTTCCAAGTCGTCAATCACTTCCTACAAGCAACGGAAGGAAAACAGGGTGTGAAGGAAGTGGTGACGGAGATCATTGAAAGAAAAACTACGAAGAGTGGGCAAGGATTTCTTGAATGGGAACAAGATCAAATCTCAAGTCCTAAATCGTCAGAGTGAGAGCTTTTGTTAAGCCATGTACATGTTTGTAATGTATGATAAGGGTATTTGTGAATTGGTGGGAAGGATACAAGGCATTGCCGAACCCCAAGATTATTTTATGATGTCGATAAATTTTTAGCGGTCGCATAAAAAAGAGAAATGCGAAAAAGATGTCAAAATCATATTAGATGAATATCATCATGTGATGGTAGCCTATCGGATCAAGTAGGGGCTGAGTCATTGATTTCTCGATTAGACGGGAGATCCAAAGATTCCTCCATAGCCGAAAGTATATAAAGATACGGAAATCCCCCACTGATTTGAAGGTTGAGATTTTGACTCGAATAACTTGTGTTCTATTCTGGCTGATGTGTGCTGCCTTTCAATCATCTTTTCGCTGCATCATCAGAGCGAGCCGAGTGTTCCACTGACGCAATTCTAATTTTCATATTTGTAGCCTTGCTGCTTACCTGGCTCGCTTGGAAATCATTGGCCAATAGCCTCGCACTAAGAGGCAACTTTATAGCTAGGGTACCCCTGCTTGGCTCGTCCTTCAAATATTCGCGACATCTAGACTGAATTTGTACTCGATACAATTGAACATACATACATTCAAGATACCCATATATTAAATGTTCACAATTACCTACTAGTTACTTCTCCTCTGCTTAAGCAGACTGCACAATTTTGAGACATCGACAACAAATACCGACTTTATTGAAAATCCCTTTGTTTTACATACAGCGAAGATCAATCAATCTACAAGTTACCGGTTTTCTTAGCGCCAACTTCACAGAGTTCTCAACGCGTAAATAGCGGTAGCGGTACACACGTTTGGACGCGAAATTTACCTAGCCACCAAAATCCCTCACGTTTCGTCACGACCTTTAATGGATGACTTTATATTCTTGTCAACAGTCTTGATCAACTTTCACAACGATTCAATACCTCAGGAGCCTAGGTATTGAAGCAGAGGAAAGCTCACAATGTCGTCTCCGGCAGGGGTACCAATGGGAAATCCTCAATTACAAAATCAACCATATCAAGCTCCTCCCCCGCCGCCAACAAATAACAATGACCATAGTGAAAATGGAGTCATGGTTAGACCGATGAGACGTAGGTACATTGCTATAAAGCTTTAATCTGATCACAATGCTTACAGTGGGGGGTTCAATAGTCAAGGTGCTCTACACTTTCGATGATGGATGCAAAACAAATTGCTTGGCACGATGGCCACAGGTACTTCAAATTCAATCTATTGCCATGGACGAAACGAATTCAATCGGAGTAATCGATCTTTACACATGTTTACAAGCAATTATTGAATGCAGCCCGGAACTGCTACCCCGACCAGGACGAGATTTCACAGTTTATGCCTACGATTATTCTGAAGACGATAGTCCTTTGGTAGGACAAGGAATGCTTTCTAGAGCTTTACAATCGCCTCCTATGCCGAATAATCAACATCAATCACAAAAGCTTGTTACTGGACGAGTATGCAAAAATATCATGGGCTTATTTGCAAATGGAGTGAAGGAAACCTTGGAGGTCAAGCTTCGTTTGGTCCCTCAAATGGTATCTCCAATGGAATATACAAACTCCATGGGAAACTCCAGTCGACAAATGTCAACACCGATGTATGATCAGAACGAGTGGAACTCTCTAATACAACAGCCGCAGCAAAACCCACCGCCTCAAATGTCGAATAGAACGTCAACCCCGGCCGCTATGTCAAATAATAAAGGTACCACCATGGAAGCGGTTAATCAGCTTCTCAGTCCAAGTCTTCCACCGAGAAATCCTTACAACCAAGCTTTACCCCCAGCGCCTGCACCTGTGCGTGAGGAACCAGTAACGATTGCTCCTAGAGAACAGAAGATAGCTAGGCCCGCATCCAGGACAACTGTCAAGAGGGGAAGACGTGGCCGCCCCCCAAAGAATCCCCGGCCTGAGGTAGGAGGCAACACTTCTGGGTATGAAGAAGGTACAGAGGGAGAAGATGGACCGGCTCCAAAGAAGAGGGCAAAGATTACTCAAGCAGACTGGAGTAACAAATCAGCATTTGGTTCTGGATCTGACTCGCTTCGAGTTACAGCAAGCACTGCAGGCTCTATACGTGCTTTCAGACCGCTAGCGCCATCCGGTGGCATAGCTGTAGGCAACCATCTACAGGAGATTCCTCGAGCACCTACACCAGTTCCAATATTGCCACATCCACCAGTCAATCAGCAAGTCAATCAGCACAGACCACAGTCACAAAGTGGGCTTAGACAGGGGTCAATTCCTCAATTGGAGATGCCTCAAGCACATTCTCCAGCCTATTCACACTTAGAACCTTCACTGCCTCCAGAAGATCGTCTGAGGCTCTCCATCGAATCAGCCCATCCCTCCCCGGACAACATTGCCAGCCCAGGAATAACACCTCAAGACATCGCATCTTCTCCACCAGTCCTTCGAAATGCAACACCGTCAATACGATCTAGTCCTCCTTGTCTTTCGAGCCCCTCGCTACCACCTATGCCTAGATTAGATTCCGGCTTCATGAGCGGTAATTTGGACGATCTCGATGACCTTTTCGGAGAAGATGACGAAGTACCACGCCCAATAGATGAAGAGGATGTTATTGTTGTAAAGAAGAGCACCAAGCGACGAGGTCCTCGCAAAACACAGCCAGGAAATTCAAATGCTGACGGTGGATTTCACATCCAAGAAGAAACACCGGGTCCTATGGAATTACTACCAAAAAGAATGCTCCTAAGTGAACAGGCCAAGCCGAAGCCTAAGGCAACAGTAACACAAGCAAAATCTAGACGAAACAGTGTCATGTCCGAGGATGGGCAATCACTACCCCCCTTACAAACGAAGACTCGTCCCAATTCTAGACCAGCTTCCCAGTCTCAAACTGCTCCCAGCGCGAACCCACCACCACCGACCTTACATCTACCGACCCCGCCAACCAGTGAATTCACGCAACTACCACAAACGCATGCCCCTGCAGCACCGCTGCCACCACCACCACAACCTCGTCCAGTATCTGGAAACTTTTCTCGGACAGCTTCTACCGGATCGATGGCCCCCCAGACTGTTCCTGCAAGTGACCCTATCCCTCCGCCGACTTTCCAGCGATCTCAGACTTGGTCCGAGAATCCACATTATATGACCGAAGCTCCGAGTGCACCTACCCAAACAGAAGCCAAGAAAGCTTCTATTAGACAAAAGTTGGAGAACGCCCTTAGAAATGGACAGATGCCTCAGTATTGTGAAAATTGTGGCGCTATAGAGACTCCAACTTGGCGCAGGGCATGGTCACAAGAATGTCAAGGTGCTCCAGGCTATCATGAATACTCCGAAGAGCCTGGGAGAGTTACAGCCATCAACATTCTTACAAGAGATGATGCAGGTCTCCCTACTTCATATCTCCTTATCAAAAAAGCCCTTGCTGCTGGAGAAGATCAAAAACAGTTCAAGGCGTTCAGTCTTTGCAATCGTAAGTTATGCATATTATTTAACAGATTGCGTCGCTAATTATTACAGCTTGTGGTATATGGATGTCAAAGTACAAGTCTCAACGTCCAGAAGCTAAATGGGGTAAAGATCCAGATGCAAAGAAAAAGCGACCTTCTAAAGCTAAGGCGGCGGCGATGATGCCCACATCAGAGGCAAACTTCCCACAATCAGAGACTAATTTCGCCCCATCAGAGGCTTTTCATGAGAATCCCGCGGCTCCTCTTGGTACCGACCGCTTATCTCCAATTGACCTTGACGGATTAGATTCTACCAACCAAATACTTACTGACCACGACCGCCCAAATGGAGCGCGCCGTGCAAACAGTCTCCGTCCTTCTAAGAAGCTGAACGCCATGACTTCAGATTCCGCTTCGGCAGCATTGAGAAGAGCTTTACAATCCAGTCCAGCTAGGTGGACACAAAATAATCAGATCGAAATCGGAGAAGAGCCAGAAACAGACACAACCCGAAGGCTCTTGTTTCCTTCTCCACGCAAAGATTTATCACCTAAAGTCCTAGGCGAAGTTACAACGAATGTCGTTCAGGTTGTTGTTGATATACAGGGCGCTAAAGATGCAGTTCTCGGAGCCATGGACAAGGAGAATTGTTCGGTCCCATTTGATCTAGAAGAGGACGCTGAACTTATGAGATTGATTGAGGAGCAATTTGCACGACCGACCACACCAGACCAAAAAATGCCTGGCCCAAATCCATTCAAAACACCCACTAGACCAACCCCGAACCACAGGCCCATTACCAGGAGCGTAACCAGGTCTGGTCGCTCGGGAAAATCTCCAAGTCATCTTTTACCTCCTCCCAAAACCCCAAGTAAGACTCCTGGATCAAGTCGTCGAACTCCTCGTGGCAACGGCATTTTCGAGTCACCATTTACCGCCCAATTAAACCAGCTAATGTCTGATAACCCTATCAACTCGCCCTCTCAACACCTCGATTTTAATAATTTGCCTAATCTTCCTAATTTCGACCATGGATCTTACAATCTTCAACAATATGATGAAGACTTCTTCTCGACAGATGTCCCAATGCCATCCTCACCACCAAGGATGTTCACTGAATTTAATAACACTTCGGCTGGAGGATCTCTTGATTGGGGTAATTTTAATTTCGATACTGCTCCAACAGAAAATGAAAAAGGGACGGAAAAGGAAAAAGCAGGGGACGCGGAAATCAAACAGGAACCAGTGGAGGAAACAATGACGAATGAGACGACTTAGTCGATCTCCTTCACTTACGAATAAGAATAAGAGCGCGGATTTGTATTTTCTCATGATTGACGGATTGCATTAGTGGGCGTTTGGATTATTAGGGATGGGAACATTTGTGAAGGAAATGCATTTTACAACAGCATGGCGTTGTTTGTCATATCGTATATGCTAAATGCATTTGATAAAATCTGGGTATTTTGGAATAGGCATTGGTTGGATCACTCTATGGCTGTATAGTTTAGCTTTGTTTTTGATATCAGCAAGGTTTTACAAGTTTTCTTAAGATGATCTAGTACTACGTCGAGCGAACATAAGAATGATGACGAGTTGATGATGAGATGCATGGCTTTTTTTTTACCCTTGTGCTTGTGAAAATTGTGAATGTGAAGTTCGTGATGTGAGTGAGCTATGCATGATTCTCTGGAACATATTGAGTTGACTTTATGTGTTGTATTGTTTCTTTGTGCATTTTCTCGATAAGCTCGCCATCAAGGTATTCCATTGAATAGAGGGATGTGATGTAAGCAGGATTTGAGATCACGGCTGCCTCTACTCATCTATTACTCGGCCTCGATTCCTTCCATTCTTTCTAACAAGTAGCATCACCTCTCATTCTCTTCTATTCCTTTTACCCTGCAGAATTCCATATCATATCATGTTTTCTCGTGGTAGTTGTATATCTACCTCATTTATCTGTAACGAAGGCATCATAATTTTGTGTCTTGCCTTGCCCTCAACGTCCTTGAATACAGGTAACAGTTGATGATTTCTTATCCCTCGGTATACCAGATTTCCTTGTATCGATGATTTGCGTCGACTAGGGCGTTCATTGCTGCGAAATCTGAGGGGTATGGTGTTAGCTTATTTTTGCATATTATGTACTTCCGGGAGGAGAGTAGCAAGGGAAGAAAGAAGAGATCATACCGAAATTTGTGCCGAAATCAGTGGCTTTTAGTACTTTGACACTTAGGTCTTGGTTTACTTTCCCGACGATCTCGACGGCGTTTCCGACTTGGAGATGGGAGTCCTAGGGGTTTTCTTAGTTTGGAGGTTGTGGTGGGAGGTTGGAGGTATTTTGTTGGATGAGAGGATAGTGGATAAGTGTGAATAGAAAAATTGTGGGTGGAGGGTCAATATGGAATTGGGAAGTAGAGAAAGGATCGAAAAGACGAGAAATAGAACCTACCCGATTCAAAATTACAGTCACAGCCCCATCACTCTCAATATTTGCCTCATCACCTCTTAACTGCGTCACTTTTCCCACCATACGCACAGTGCGCGAAGTGAAGGAATTTAAGTAGGGAGAGGTAATGCGGGGGGTGGTGGGCGTTTCGGCCATGATAAAATTGTGAATTTGGGAAGGTGAGATGGTGGGATCTTTGGTTTGGATGGAGTCGTGTTGTTTTACTGAATATATTGGAATTGATCGATTTGTATGGGGGTTGAGGTTTGATATGATATTGGATTTTGGATTCGATGATGTTTACGAGACGAGGCTGAGCTGGTTGGAAAACAAATCCACTAAAACGCGTGAGGGGAACGTGAGCATGTGATGTGCTAGGTTGATTAGCGGTGGCTGGTGGTGAATGTGGGGTGGTTATTTTTTGACGAGGGGGTGGCGTTCGAGCTTGGATATAAATGGGTTGATGCCCCTCCACCAGCAAATTAAAATAAACAGAAATTATAATAAAAAAGTGTTGTAGGAGGTTTTGAGAGCATCCTTTCCGAGGCAATATTAGATAAAGCTTGGTAAATGATTTATATTAGTCTACCGATTGCGAATTTTACGAACGAGGATGCTTTTTGCTTGCTACACAGCCGGGAAAGGTTCCGGATGAGTGCCCTGAAATCAGGATACCGGGCTGTTAATGCGAATGTTATGAGAACAAATTCTAATTTTATGGACCACCAGACGGACTAGTGTTTCGAGCGAGAAGTTTAGTCCTTTCTCTCGAGGTTGAATGTAAGACAGGAACCGTGGGAATGCTTTGATTTGGTTGGGTGTTGTTGAAACGTTCTCTGCCTTTCCATCCTAGAACCGGTAGATAAGAACGGCTTGAGGAATGCCGATGGATGATCTCTTTCAATTTGAGCAAAATACCATGATAAAGATGATCATGAAGTGCTGATGAAGTGCATCCAGGAATCTACATCTTGCACGTTTTGCAGCAACGATTTTTCAGATGAGGGTCTCACATATTCAACTCTGGAAGTGCACAATAGAAATCGTGTGTGGAAACCTGCCAGCCCAATTCATAGCCTTACTAGCAGTCATTGAAGCATTCAGAAGGTATTTATAACGCTATCAGATAGTAGCGCTAAGGTAGAACATCGAATAAAAGAGTCATTCAGATATTTGGCAGTGCATAGTTCGAACCAGAGCGCTTCAAAGGATAGTTTGCGAAGGATCAATTAAAGTTGTTATCTGCATAGTATCAGACTCTTAAATTCCAAACAACAAGCGGAAAACAAATAACCATAGGTTATCTCTCGCTACCCGTAAACATGTTTCTCTCCACTTATGGTGTACAGTTAGTGTCTGTCCTATTATGTTGACACTAACGCCAGCCACGCTTCTTTTCGGCGTCTCTTTTCTGCCTTTTTTCTCGCCTTAATTTTTACCTTACTTCTCGCCTCTATTCTCGCTATTTCCTCCGCTGCTTTCTGGCCCTTCACAGTTCCAGTCACAGTTCCTGGTATGTAGAACTTCTTAACCATCTTATTTTGGTCGTCAAAGTGACGAAAGAATTTGCCCTTGTATGCAAGTCCAGGCGCTTCCTCAAACTCCAGTCCATGCTCGCAAAATCCCAAAACTGCTAATTCCGGACACTTCCAAACCCATCGACTGCCGTTTGCAGCTTTATATAGATTTTTGCTGTAGTAATGGGCTTTCTCCATGGCCCAACCATGGGAGTGCATTGGATTTCTACGCATAATCTTCCCACCAAGGAAATGTGTCCGACGCGAATGACCCTTTTGCGTTTTTTCCCTCTCGCACACATGGACAGGAGGCTGGAGATATGCTCTTATCCTTTTCTCTAAGTCATTCCTGTCGTGTTGCACTAAGGCTGCTTTTATACGGCCGGTAGGGGTGTACGCATGTCGACTACAAAAAGACTCCTAGGCGCTACCGTACTTGCAGGGAGGCAAGGTCTCCTCATCAACCGTCGTGGGGTCGACAAAGCTCTTGAACAAAATGATGAATGCATCAAGATTGGGAAAACGGAGAGGTAAGGCCCTCCAGGTACTCAATGACCGAGTTCGTTCAAGGTGCTCGTTGTACATTGCAAGATAAGTAACTCTGTCGCAGTCTTTTTTGTCCATGTTATTGGCCAAAAAACGAAGCTGCTCTTTGCTACAGCTAGCACGAGGATAGAGGATGTCTAGTTTGAAATTGAAGTAGACAGGGGCAAAAGCTCCATCATGATCGAACGTGAGCTCATAATGCCCCAGTGCGAAATTTCTCGATTCTTGGCAAATATGTAGGGCTATTGGAACGTCTGCAACAAAATCATGGGTGACATGGTTGTGTAGCTGCTCATACTGTGTGAATCGGACTTCGACTATTAAATGATAAGTTAGCAAGCCTGTACAGTAATAGCCAATTAACCGAATCGCCACTTTCGTTTGCCACCAGAAATTCGAGCATGGAAAAGTTCCATTCGGGGGCCTAGAGGAAAGTTGGGGCAAAGACGTAGTTCAATGACTAAAGCAAAGATTAGTTCAATGACTAAAGCAAAGATGAGTAAGTGCGTACTTAGTCGTTGTTCAATTGTCAATCCCCAAATCGTGTTTCGCATTTCGGCAGGGAGTTTCATGAATTGGAATCCTCTCTTTTCAGGTAGTGGTCTATATCTTGACTTTGAATGAATCTTGTTATAGAAGAGACTCATACTATGGTAAATGACACCTTTGTCTCTAGGTACCGTGTTGATAGGTAGGGTCGACATTGTGTTGCTGTAAAGTTTGAAGAGGAATTTTTGCTGAACAAAGTTCTTTGGTGGAAAAGTTATCTCTCTATTGAAGAAGACTTGTGATTAAATCTGATAAAGAAGTTTAACTCTGGAATTTGATAGACAAAGTTTTTTCTCTGAAGTTGTAGTGTTTAAGTGTTTAGGTTCCAGTCGAGTCGCGTCTTGATGCTTAAGTAGGTAACTTTAGAAAACAAATATTGACATCACCAGAAGATGGTCCGAGCGGAAATAACGCTAATTTACTACAGCGACCTCAGGACCTCTTCTTATTAGTTGTGGCTAATAAGCCATAGACTGTGAATAGGTAGTGCTGTATTGTATCAGCGAATAATGGCAGGGAATAACCACCAGTCAGATTCTTGCAGTCTCCTCCAAAATTCCTCCAAACAGCTAGACTGCTATCTGACATTAAGCGATTTTTGATTCCCAAACTTTTTTGGACATAGAGTCCACCCTTAATCATGACCCACGCCTGCATCCTCTCAGATGTTTAGGCCCTCCAGCATATCATATCTCAAGGGAAAGTATTAATGAGGTTGATATATATAGGTATGGACAGTGGCACAGGAAGGCAGGGTAAAACAAAGTCAAGAAAGGTAGCAGGCAGTCGAATGAAGAAATGTTGAAGTGATTGGCCTCAACAAAGTCACTTCTTCATTATCTGGACAGCAAATTGCTTTGACTTCCTGCATCAAAAGGACAAAAATATACACCTCTGTGTTTGTTGTTGTAAGACATATTTCTATTGTATCAGGATTGCCTGTGTAAATAGTATATTTAGAGAGTTGGTAATTTGAAATGCAGGTGGTAGAGCCTAGGTCTCATTATTGGTTTGTATACAAGCAGATGAAGATACACTGTTTTTTAGGGTCTAAATAAGACCAAGCACTATTGTGTTTGCTTTGTTTGACTGACCCTTTTAGTTTCATGGAAACTTATGTGTACAGCGCACTAATTTGGACATCAATTCCTCAGTCATGTAGCAGCTACAGCAGTTTACAAAAGCTGTGATTTAATGAGACACGATCTTCCTTACAAACTGACTTGGTATATTGCAGTCCCACCCTCATCCTCTTCCTGGCCACTTCTTTCTTTCCCAAGACTACGTTGCTATGTTTTTGTGAAGATCATCTGCTGCTCAATGATGGATTCCCTTTTCCTCTGCCCCATGCAAAACCAGCAGACTGTGTGTTATAGTTTCCTCTGAAACTCGATCAAGCTTGTCTTTTATGAAAAAATTGGCTTGCGTGCAAAATAGCTAGCATTCAATTGTCTTCTGAGGATATGATTATGAATAAAAGCGCATGTCAACTCAACATCTCTTCATCTACCCCCATTCACTTTTATTGCCTTGTGATGATATCATTAGCATACAAGGATTTGTGTTAATATCTCTGCATGTGGTCAATTTTATTGACTTACAAAGACGTGATTATGATTAGCATGTAAAAATCGTAGTGAATTTTATAAAAGACAACTTGTCTTAATATCAGTCAATGGAATTCTCTATTAGTGAAGGGCTGCTGTTGCTGGTTGAACTTGGACATCTTGGGTGTATTTGACAAAAAAGCAGAGAGATTATCATTTAAATGTACGCTGATAAATGCGATATATCTTCGGATGAGCGCAACTGCCCATCTGGTTCCATTTTGCGATGCAAATGTGTAGCACTTGAGAAGCCACACCGCACCTCACACCATTAATCGTCATTTTATGAAATAATTTGTCAACATATCGCCAGCCAGCTTGCTATTGTCCAGGGTTCGAGATAACTAAAACTACCCGCTTTGTACATCTGATTCTAGGTAACAAAATCTCATAACTTGGTTTCATTTTTCCCTTCGGGGTCAGCGAGTGTTGAATAATGTTCTATTTAACAAGAAATGAGGCTAGTTAAGCAGTTGTGCGGACTTCGATGATATGCAGATCAGGAAATCCAGAAGTTAAGAAGGACGGTGGAAAGGTAAGAACGATATTTTTCATTTCGCCAGGTGCCGCATGAGATGGCCATCTGGATGGAGCAAACAGAGATGAGAATTCGAGCCCTATGGGCTTGTTCGATACCTCTTGGGCCATTTCAAAGAGGATTGTTATGAGATATTGCTCTGCAAAAAAATCAGGGAGAAAGTATATTATTCTATGCCGAACTTTTAGGAAAATAAGTCTACCGTGCTTGAACGAAATGGCAGATGGGTGCAAGAAAAGCTGATAGTAAAATTTAGAGTAGTGTAGAATTTGGCGAAGAACTAAAGAAGACTCACTTGAGCGGTTCCACTCCAAATATAATGTCAGAAATTAAACATTTATTCAGTGATTTGGAAATGTTGACTGGTTGGCAAATCTCATGTATTCCGTGCAACGTACTATATTGTATTAGAAAGCATGCGAGATAGAAAACAGCGCCTTGAGCAATGAATACACCTTCGAGCAAAGTATTGTGTTTTCATCTAGAAATTGTTACATTTTTTGTACAATACTCTATACACAAGACAAGAGCAAATATATTATCATAGCTCATTCATCACGCAGCACTCCTGACCTTCTTCACGAGATCACTCTGATGCTCTTCCAACATCTGATCCAATGCGCTCTTCTCTATCACAACCCTCGACAATTCCAACAAATCCTTAACATCCACTTCGTTCACATCCAACACTGTCGCATCATTTTTGCTCACAACGCTGGACAGGTTCTTCCTGAAACCACCCGTCACAATCAACGTCCGTCCGTTATTCTTGCTCCATCCCAGATGTTCAAAAACTCTCTTCGCATATCTAGTCTTTGGGTGCTCGAATTCCATTCCATCTTCACAGACAATCAATTGTCCTTTTCTATACCTCCAACTCAGCGCCGTCCGCCACGCAATATCGTACATCTTTCTCGGTAAGTCTGTTCCAAAATCTCTTGGATGAGGACCGAATGATTTTCCTCCTCCAACGATCAATGGAGATTGTCTCCAACCAAGACGAGCACCACCAGTTCCTTTTTGCGGGCGAATCTTTCGATGGGAACCATGGACATCGAAGCGAGTTTTAGATGATGCAGTTCCTTGACGGGTGTTGTCGCCTTCGAATACTACAGCGCGGTGGAGAAGATCTCGACGGAGAGGGAGATAGAGGTGTTTACTTGGGTAGGATTCGAATCGGACGGGTTCCATGGTAGGGAATTTGTAGATGGTGGTTAGGACTGGGGGGTCTGCGGGGTGTTAATAGATAGATCGAGATATTTTACATGAGATATTTACTGAAAGGGTCAGATATGATATCTGATGTTTTTGTGAAAATGCTAGGCTCATATTCTTGAGATATACCGGACGGTAATGGCGCCTCTGTTGCCATTGTCCTCGTAAATTGTGGTGCTAGATATTGCTACAATAAAATCAGTACTCTATTTCTCAGTCTCCAATGCAAACAACATACTGTCAGAGGGTCCCTCGCACTATTTATTGATGTGCGAAAAGCATTCAAACTTTTCGCAAAGCTTTGAAGTCCCTTCGTCGCCATATTTGAGTGACTTAAATCCTATAGGGTCGCTGTCGTCGTTGAATTCAATGAATCTCGGCGAGGCTAGGCCAAAATTAAATTTCCTCGGCAATTCTTCGGCAGGTCCCGCCAATATTTGATATGGCGTTCGATAATTTTGTCGAAACATCACATATCAGCATCACATCACCATGCCTCCCTGTCAGAAGGCCGTAAGGCCCATGGCGCGATGCCTACAGAATACTCCGTCACTATATCTATCTGCAAGATCAATACGAACGTTTACGAGCTCCACGACATTCAATGCAGAAGCTGCGGCTCAGGAAGCAGCGCCTTCTGGTCTCGACCCGGCAACTGTTGTGAGACCAGAAAATGAAAGGAAATTGATGAGGCAGGGTATCATGCCCATAGGATCAAGACGTCGTCGTGCGGCGCTGAAGACTTCCGCCAATATCCCTTTCGAACAATTACCATATCAATGTTTCCAGGAAGCTCGAAAGGTCTTACAAGCAGATAGAGAGGAAAAGTTAGAGATGATCGCGAAGGAGAGATTACGGCTCAAGAATTTGGAGGCACAGGATGCGTCAGTTAGTGGGGGTGAGAAGCAGAAGCAAACCAGAATAGAAAGTATAAAGAGGTATTTGGAGTACTTGAAGATTCAAGCAGATATCAATGATCCTTTGATCAAGAAGCGATTCGAAGATGGTGAAGGTATGACAATTGCAGAGTTATTCCCTTTTCGCATTACTAAAATTCTCAGGTGATATGAACAAACCAATCTACCGGTACCTAGCTGATCGAAAGTGGCGCGAATATCAACGTAAAATAATTGTCCAGCGTTTACAACAATTTTCGATTGTGCCGGATCTTCTTCCTCATTTCGAACCTACCGCCGAAGTTCGTCTCGCGTTTCAAGCACGTAATGTTCAACCGGGCGATTATGTGGACTCCAGGGTCAGTGAATTCCCAGCTAGATTAAAGGTCCAAGTTTTCGACAAAGGGGAGAGACTCGTCAGTGTTGTAGTTGTGGATGCAGATGTTCCAAACGTAGAGAATGATCACTTCAACACGAGATGTCATTACCTTGCTGCCAACATTCCAATTTCACCGGTACAAGATTCGTTACCGCTATCCAGAGCAGATCCAGAGAGCCAATTGATCTTGCCATGGCTACCACCATTTGCACAAAAGGGATCACCATATCACCGATACTCAATATTCGTATTAGAGCAAAAGCCCGGACAGGTTCTGGACGTAGCGGCACTCAAAGAATTATATCAACGTGATCGATTCAACCTCAGAGGTTTCAAAGACAGGCATGATGTACAACCCATAGGATTGGGACTTTTCAGAAGCGAATGGGATGAGGGTACCAAGGGAGTTATGCAGAGAGCAGGAATCGAAGGATGGGATATCGAGTTCAAGAGAACGAGAATCCCGGCACTCAAGCCAAAACAGAAGGCTAGAGGTTGGGAGGCACGTCATGCTAGTGATAAGTATAAGTCTTTGAGGAGATGATATTTATGATAGCTAAAAATGTATCATATTTGTAATATCTGCTGATTTTGCTCTTCCTGATACTCGAGCTGAGTATAGCTGTTGCATAGCATAACTGAGACTATTTTGAATTGTGATTGAGTCTATATGCAGAATTATCGCAAGTCTACATCTATCTAGGTATCTTGGCTGACCGAATACAAGGTTGTAAACTCTCTACTCGTCTAAATTCATTTATTGAGTAGCAATCCCCAGTCTAAACATCTCGAAAGAGAAACCTGAGAAGGATTTCTGAGCCACTTGCGAAAATGAGATTGTCATAGAAGATTAAGTAATTCTAACCTGCCTTTCCTCTTCTCGTCTCGATTCCTCAAAAACTCTCGAACATGAGCCAAAACTTTCATTCCTTCCACCCTCACTCTTGCTTCAACGACAATCCTCACCTCATTCAGGCTGATGTATAGATTTTCTTACAAACTACGATGATATAAACTCATTAGACTGATTAGTTGATATATTCAGAGCTCCTATTCTGGGGTGCCAACTCACCGGAGGTTAGTCCTATCCTCGAAAGTATCTAGTAAGATTTTGCGTAAGAAGACAAATTGGTTGAATTTCTATTCTGGCATCTATTTTGAACTTGCTGATCTTAACGAGTCGCCTGCTCAAGTTTTACTCTTGTCTCTTTGCACGGAATTTCAGAATGAATTGACGCTTTGCTGGATGGAATTTGAAAATACCTACCTAGCCAGAGATGCAACACAGGTTCAGAGAGCAGCACAAACAAATTTCAAGCGAGATGTGCAGACAACGACTTCTATAAATTCTTAATTACGTCTCGTCTTAATCTATCCTAAAAATGCACGCATGAATCCCATTCCCCATATGTATTTTAAAACGCCAGCCCTAAGAGCTTGTGGTATTAGGTTGATCCTCACAACGACAAGCAATGCAATGTAGTCCGTTCGAATGTATGTCCATTCGCATATCCCATCCCCCTTTGCACAATTCATTCGCCATCTCGTCAAGTTCCGTCGCATCGTATCGTATCATTTATCCACCTACAGCCATCTCCATGAACAACTTCTCCCTCTTCAACAAGAAACTCAATAGTAATGTCAATGCCGCACCAGCTACAACCAGGTAGTAAGTTTTGTCGATTGCTTGTACGATTCCCTCAATGGCTTTGTCTCTCAGTTCTTGAGACACGCTTTGGAATAGCGCACTTTGGGATCCGGCAATTGCGCTTCTGATTTGGTCTGCTGAGAAGCCTTCGCCCGCAAACGCGTTGTTGACATTTTTAAATGCTGTGCTCTGGAAAACTGTACCGGAGACTGCGAGACCGATGACGACACCGCCGATTTGAGCTACGTTGATGTATCCAATGGATGCAGGGACTTCTTGGCCACGACCATCACGGCCGAGGATAGCTGGGGCGATACTGTAGGAAGCTTGAGTGATCATACCGCAGCCGATGGCGATGAGAATACTCCAGCCATAGATAGAACCTGCGTTTGTAGAGGTGGTGACTGTAGTCATTGCGGCACCTCCAGCGAGAGCAAACATACCCCAAAGGACGAAGAAGGGCCAGTAATAGCCAATCTTCGGCATGAGTATTCCTTGTGACATGACGACTACAATGTAAAGGACAATAAATGGCATGAGTCTGACAGCGGCTTGAATACCATCATCTCCTTTGGAGAATTGGAAGAAGAGGGGGATGTAGAAGATTGGCACGAAGAGTGCTGTTCCTGCTGCTGCGGTACAGATGAATAGGAGAATCATGGTTCGTGATTTGAGGAATTGTACTGGGAACAATCGATCTTCAGGTGTGGTGAAAACGCAGAATTGTTGCTGGACTGCGAAAAGGATGAAGATAACACCGCAGGAGACGAATGTGGCAATAGTGCGTCCATCGTTCCAAGGCCAGTTGGCGCCACCGAAGGTAAGAGCGATGACGAATGAGGTAAAGAGACCGGCATTCAACAAAGCTCCAATCCAATCAACGTGCTTAACTTTGTGAAGGACGTCTAGATCGGGCTGTGGGTCGAATGATGGGATCAAAAGGAGAGCTGGTACGGCAATAGCGAAGATGACTAAGTTGATATAGAAGGCCTAAGTGAATAGTTAGTTTCTGTAGGTTGATGTTAAGATAAAGTACTGACCCATCTCCAGGTTGCTCCTGAATCTGCGAAGGCTCCTCCAATGACAGGACCAAGAATAGTTCCGATACCCCAGGTGATACCCACACCTCCTAGATAGAGAGGACGTTCTGTAATGGTAGTATTGATGGCGACCAAGTTTAAGGTTCCGAGATACATTCCAGCACCTCCTATACCGGCAATGACCCTTCCAACAATGAGTGCATTCATGTTAGGCGCCGCACCGCACACAGCACTACCGACGATGAAAATAACGACTGAAACGACATGGGTCCACTTGACATTGAAAGTGCCATATGCTTTACCACTAGCAATGAAGTTAGTTTTTGCATGATCGTGTTACATATAAGGAATACTAACATAGTAAGAATCGTAGCAATGGAACCCAATGGGAAACCAGTACCCAACCAAGACAGCTTTGAAATATCACCGTAGGTTCCAAGGACAGCAGATTGAATATCAGCAGCGATAGTGTTGTCCAAGCCGTATAAGAAAGTAGCGACGTAGAATCCAACACAAATGACGATCCATTTCCAGCCAGTAACTGTTCTCACTTGTTCTGGCTCAGGTGGTGGACTAGTAGTTGCTGGGCCTTTCTCTGAATCTGTTGTAAAGGCATCTTCTGATCGTTCAAGTCTTTGGGGCTTGTCATCTATGGATGGGGCTGAAGAGGCTATTGTGGGGGGAACAGCTGGTGCTGTAGTTGACGACATTGTAAAGTCACAGCTTTCACGATGTATGAAGATGAAAGGCGTAGACAAACTTGAGAAGATCAAGGGTAATGAAGACTATGAAACATGGGAGTACGAAAGACTTATACCACTATATAAGTAGACGGTGACATGGCAAGGGTGCTTCCAGCCTGTTTGAAATGTACAATACCGAACGGTATGGTTCCGTGCCAGATTTGAAAGCAAAAGGAGTATGAATGAATTGGATCGGCCATAACTGCTCAATAACCCGAAGAATTTCGCGATTCTTGCTGGTATTGATAGGGTCAGATGAAGTCTTGGAAGTACTCTTTCAAGGTACATTCCCAAGGGTTGGATAATTAGGCGCGTCTCTGCGCAATATTTGCAGGAGATAATGTGACTTCATGGGGTTTCGGAGATGTTTGTCGGACTAAAATCTGACAAAGTATCGGGGTTAGGTGATATTGTAAGATTAATCACACACTGAACATTTAAAAGGAACGATATTTGGCTGCATTCAATTGGATAAATGGTAGAATATTGAATCTTCCGCGGAGTTGTCAAAGACATCTTCTACTCGAAGAATGCATATTACTTTTTCTGAGGTATTCTCTTGAACCCCTTGACACCCTTGACACTCTTGATCTCCACTTGGGCAATCAGTATTTGTTGTTCTGATATCGAAAATGAGGTGGAAGTAAGGTTAGAAAATTGATCGGTGTTTGTGGGGAAAGATCTCCGAAAAACACAACGCTAGCTATAATAGTGCTAGCATATCCGAATACGCTAGCATCTGCTACATCAAGCCACCGGAGCTTCATGAAAAGCACGGAGTCCAACAAGAAAACAACACACATTTAATATTATCAGCGTGCAGAATTTGATTTCATTTCCTCCAGACCTATGGACCCGAGTTGATTTTCATTCATAAAGAGACCCTACTTTGGTACTTCAGGAGTATAACAATCGCTTTTGCTAAGGCACATGTTGTTGATCTTATCCTCGCCGGAGGAGGATCTGAAGAGTCATGTCTGGTCTCGTATACTCGTTCACACGAACATTTTGAATCCAAACAGTTTATGTAATAGGATGAGTACCTACGGAGTAGTATCCGGAAAGTGATCTTCACTAGGACTAGGATCACATGCAAGTCATGCTTTGTTTTGCCGCATTTACTGGATTGCTCTTTGTCCACTGAAAATGACATACGCGAACGGGCATATTTTGAATCAGTAATCAACTCACGGTGCCTAAGGCTTTGGTGAGTAAGTGCTCTCTTACACTAGACAAAGTACAGTCTGGCAGGGAGGGAAGTTGTTTCATCATTTTCCTGTATATCGAGAAAGCTCGAAAGGTTTGACACAATTCATAATTCTCGAATATACTTCACAATGACAGATAAGAAGCTTGTCGTTGTTCTCGGGGCTACTGGTGCACAAGTACATTCACTCTCTTACATACCCCTTAAGTTCAGTGCAGGCTAATAACAATCCTGACTCAAGGGCGGCCCCACAACCCGTTATATCCTCAAGCATCTTTCTGATACTTACCGAGTGCGGGCCGTAACCCGTGACCCTACAAAGCCATCCGCTCAAGCTCTATCCAAGAGTGGTGCCGAAGTTGTCTCTGCCGATTATGATATTCCTGACTCCATCAAGGCTGCTCTATCCGGAGCCCATGCCATATTTGCTATCACTAACTTCTGGGAGCAAAACTCACTTGATATTGAGGTAGCTCAAGCCAAGACTATTAATCGGATTGCTTCCAAACTTCCTCACCTCGAACATTATATATTGAGTAGTCTACCCGATGGAAGGACATTAGCTGGACGTCAATTTCAGAACATTTTGCCATATAACGCTAAAGCACTGATCCGACATGATTTGGCTGAGAATTATCCGAGTTTGTGGAAAAAAACTACAGAGGTGTTTGTCGCATTCTACTTTCAAAATTGGGTCAAGTATCCAATGGTCTTAGGTCCTTACAAGGTATATTTCTGTTTCTTCTGGGCTTTGTATTGATGGAATGACTTACAAGGAAAATGACTAGACGCCAGATGGATCATTTGTGCTCTCAATGCCATATCCAGGTGATACTAGGGTGCCTTGCTCCGATGCTGAGGACACAGGAATGGCAATCGGAGAAGTCTTGAGAGGAGGGAAGAAGTTCTCTGGAAGACAGGTTGTGCTTTTTGGAAAACCTACTCCAGAAGAAGAAAGACTCAAGATATGGGCTGATGGTAAGTTTTCTTCTGCGAGTTTCGAAGCCCTAGTGCCTAACATCATTCAAAGAGCTCGGTATCAAAGCTAGATTTGAGCAAGTTTCCTCTGAGCAGCATGCAAAGCGACTATCGAGCTATGGGCTTCCTCCAGATACTGTCGTTGCTAGCACAGAACTCGTTGAGGCCTTACCCTACGAAGAATCGATGTTAATGAGTGGGAGACATGTACAGACGGAAGAGGTAAAGATTATGGTTTTTCTCAGAAGATTCTTGCTAACAACCCAGTAGTACCTCCCAGATGGTTACAAATTGGCCACTTGGGCAGATTATGTTAGGAAAGAAGACTGGTCACCTTTGATAGGCACATAAACCACTTGGAATTACATTTATGTGTGGTAGACAATGCAGCAGAAAGCCATCAATATGGTGATTACAGTTCAAGGTTGTCTATGCTCTTGTGTGCTTCACAAATCTATATCATGACCAGTAATTAGCTACAAAAACAAAATACATGATTTTTACCCAATCAGACTGCTTCATATACATAACAGGCAGTTAGTTTTGCCATGTAACAATCCATCACAAATGTCGCAAATTGCTATCTTACAAGCCGATGAGATGACCTTCCCTTTCTTGCCTCGCTCATCAAAGATCTTAGATGTCGCATCAGCACCGCCGCTTCGAGATCAGAGTATCGGCACGTGTTGGAATTAGCAGTTAGACACGGTGCGAAACCGGTGATGGAGCATTTTCCGTTTAGTTTCAAGGGAGTGAGGAATGTGGAAAGGGTGAGGTTATACTTGATGTGGGACGAAGCGTGCTTTGGATGGATGGGATGGATGGGCTGGGTGTGTAACGATGGAGTATGAATCGAACGGGCACTTGTTTGATTCGAGAACTTGAATGCTGATTCTGAGAGCGAGAGTGGAATCTGAATGTTAAAATATATTCTTGTTCCAAACATATGCAAGGTACCGCGCAGAATCTATTGGGAGGCTTCAGTAATAGGTAATAGGTAGGTCTAGCTCTTCAGTGCTAGGGTGTCCAATAGCTCGGACTGCAGTCCAATAATGAGGATTAGTAAACTCTCAAATTAATTAGAAATATTCGAATCGTTTAAGATATGGAATTTGATTACATCATTGAACTATTTTCAAATTTCTTACTGCTTTTGGATAGGTATTCAAATCCTTGGGTATATTGTTGAATTGCAGTTTGGATTATTGGATACCCTGCGAGTTTTCACAAATGTGCAAAAGTTTCACATGTATTGAGGTGAGGAAACACAGTGATTAGAGAGTAGTCTACAGAACTTCACCCCAGATCTATTTTCTGTTTACTGCATGAAATAGAGATATCTTGTCGATACAAAATACATCCACTCCTTCTCCAGCACAAACTGTTCTTTCCCTCACTCCCTACCCATTCATCCCTCCACACATCTAGTAAACTTTCCACCCTCGCCAACCATTCTCTCTCTATAATAAACCCCCTCCGCATCACACAATTCTTTCCATGACTTTCCAAACCACACACTCTTCGTATCCTCTTGCGAAAAACTCGTCGTCTCATACAACAAGTCATGTCTCTCCTTCTTCAACGCACTCAAAAGTTCCCTATCAATCCTCACGCCCCTCTTCTCCCACCCCCCAACTCCTTAATCTTCTCCCCTACCCTCTTCCTCGCCGTATCAATTTCTCTCTCCCTCTACCTCCTCTCCTCCACCTCCTCTTCAGATTCTTCCTCATCTCCCACCCCACCCATCCCCTCCACCACCCCCTCCATAACCCTCCTATTCCTCCTACTCTCCTCCAACACCCCCTCCAACTGCGCAACCACATCATCCCACTGCTCCAACTCCCTCTCCTCCTCTGCTTCCCTAATCGCCATTTCCACCATGCGCTCTTTCACATTCATCGCGAATTCATATGCACAAGCGAGAAGTGCGTGGTGAGAGAGGATAAATACCGCCCAGCGCCAGGGAGCAGGAATGGCGTATTTGGCAATGAGGTACGAGACGGGGATGGCGAAGATGATGTTGAAGATGACTTGGTGGATGGATGCGTCAGCTTGATTCATATATCTTCGGGATGATCTTTTTGAATCACAAAAAAAACTTGCTGAAGTGAATCTTCGTATTGAAGTCAAATAAAATCAAAGTCAACCAAAAAAGAAGAAAGAAAAAACATACCCAACCAAACACTAAGTCCCCATCTCTCCCAATGAACCCACACTTTCTCTTCCTCCTCAACTTCTTTAGCGCCCTGTTTCTTCTTCTTCTTCATCTCCTCCCCTCGATCTCTAATCTCCCTCATCCTATCCAATTCCGAATATACAGTCCCCTCCCCCTCCCGCCCAGCCGCGGGGACTCCCCCAAAAGAAGAAGCCTTTCTCCCCGTAACCGCCATCCTATTCTTCGTCATCTCTCGTATTCGATCCGTATCCTTGTATGCTCTTGAAGATATACTCAGATCAGACTGATCACTGGCGCTTTTTGCTCGCAATCCGTGTATCTCCTCTTCCAATCTGCAAAAAGTCGCAAGATGCAAGATCGACAAGAAGTAATTCGAAATAAATGATTCGATGCCGTGTTGATGCTAGTACCGCTCCCAAATTTCGACAATGGAAATATCGACAGTATCACTTCTTTTAAAGAGATCAGAAGTCTAAGAATTCAACAAGTTGTAGTCTCCGTAAAATCGTGGACCAATTTTCCTCCCTTCCGCACACAACGTCTCTTATTTATAAAACAAAAAGCCTTTGCGTTCTCGACAGAATATGATAGAAAAAAGTAGTAATCAAAAGAAGTCGTAACCGCTAGCTATCCATAGACAATTGTTTGTTTGCCAATATGATGTTGTGTTGTTGTGTTGTGAGAAAGTCAAAGACGTCGGAAGATCGATCTAGATTTCTCTCCCACGACCTCAATTCTTTAAATGGACCAAAGGAAGAAAAATTCAAGCTTTGAGTAAGCGAAAACTAAGATTTAAGCTATTAGAAAGTGAATGGTAAAGAATGATAATGAAACAAGAATAGAAAACCTCAAGTGAATGCTATACCCATATCTAACACATGAATTTCGCTATTCCAGTCTGATATCTATCTATAAAACAAATAAATAATCTAACTTCCGTCTCATCCGAATAATATTTGACAGCTCTCCTCCAAAAATTCTATTTCATTGTCTCTTTCATCCTAAGAACATATGAATATAATACAAGCAGAAATCAAAATCGGGGTCCTTCTGATAGCATCGCCCATCGATCCTTTCCCTTTTTTAATTTATCACTTTTCCTGCCAACTACCAAAAGGGGATTTCAAAGCGAAAACACAATTCATCAGTCCTCCCAACTTTTAAAACCATCCAGGATGGAAAGTGTCTGATTTTCCCAATCTTTATGTATAACCCCATCCGTGTT